GGGTCGACACTCTTTACAAGGTGCCGGCACTTTGAGTGGAGCGTCAGCTACATCCTCGTGTCGGGTTTTTGGCCTTTTGTGCAATTTTGGTTAATGGCATAATAACAGTCTTGGTCCCTGACTCCTGGATTCCGCGCAAAGTTGATCATCATATTTCTGATCTTTGCAATTTGCTCCTTGCATTTAAGTCCTTTTTCTAATTCTTCTCCATTTAACATCAACCTTCAATCACCATAAAATTTGCACAATATGAATAAATGAACACTTATGAAATTATCTATAGAAAAATAAAACTCTTAAACCCATAATTCCACAAATGTCAATGGTTAAGCACACTTTAAATATACATTTTCATGCTTTCATCATCTATCAAATAATTTTTACAAAAATGGCGGATACTGATCTTGTTGGAAGAAAGCTTGCCATAGCTGTCTTAGAAAGCATGCCTCCCAGCTATGTTGAGGCATTGATTCAGAGCAAAGCCCATAAATGGAAAGGTAGACATTTTCTTCCGGCACAGCACAAAATTATTTTAAGAAGAAGGAGCAGTTTACTGCCTCTCTACAAAGACGTTCAGGCCTGGCCATCCATTACTCAGTCCCTCACAAAACAACTCAGACACTGGAGAGCTAGAACAATGGCCCACATGCAGGTCATGGGAGATGATTTTTCAGCTGGATACACCTTCTTTACTGAGGACAGTATTCAAAAAATTTATCTTGATCCTGATGTGTTTATTCATAGTCAGAGTCAAAGAGAGATTTCCTTCTCACCTCAGACAAGCTACACTCAGCTACTAGATATTTACTCTGAGGAATATAAAAATGGTGAAGATCAATACGAATATCGCGGTTCTGATTTGGGTGACGACCTTCCTAATGATTACCCAGATGATCCAGAGGATATAGCCTTTTATGATGATCTTGACTCAGTTGGGTGGGAAAATCTCGAAAATCAAATGGAAGGATAATAAGTCAGACAAAAGAACAGGCATGCCTCACTCCAAAGTGACTGTCATGAGACATGTTCCATAAAAGCCGGTTACTTTTTATCTTTCCCAAAAGATAAAGATGACCGACTAGAGCAATACTTGGAACACCACTCTCCAGCCAATACTTCCATTTTCATTGGGCGACGTCATGTTGGTTTCCAGAGAGGTCATCAATTCATGGCTAATTAAACTTGGGTGGCCCAATAAAGAAGCATGTGTTGGCTGGAGAGTGCAGGAGGCTAGTGCCCCTAGCAGCTAACATTGCCCAAAAAACAGCTAGTACTGCCCAAAAACCAACGCCAATCACGTGTCAACATACTACCCACTAAAAAGAGTACCCCTATTTTCCTCAGCTCAAATATATTATTAATAATTAACCATTTCAATATTGAGCCCGCATACCACAAATAGCTTCATTTTCGTCCTGTAAATTACCTCTTTTTATCAAATTTCCCTTCGTTGGGATTTTATCTAGAAGTGCTTGCCACATGTCATGCCTAGCATTATGTTGTTGTCTACATCAATCTATGTAATGTGTTTAGTTGTCTATCATTTTATTATTCATTATATATTTGTCGAAGCTGATTGTATCAAATTTAGCCCTTATCACGCAGGATGGCTACCTTCGTGGTGAGCAAGGTCAAAA